TTTGTGATATGTTTGTCTAGGTGTCTTCTAATTTTCCGTGTTTTTGAGGCTGTGAATGTCTTTTACTAATGCAGGGTGAAAAATTTTTTATGCGTTTTTGCACATATACAAATGCAGAAACGCATAGTGTGATATGTATGTGTGTGTTTTGTGTGTATGTATGTGTGTCTGTCCAGGTATTTCAACTTGAAAACCAATGAAGCTTAACGCTGAAATTTCTGCCGATAATTTCCCTGGCCAAGCAATACCCCAGGAAAGCTCCATAAAATTTCATACAAATCTCAGCCTTGTGTACGGACGTGTGAAGGTTTTGGCTGGAATATTGCCAGCCCGGGGACCAGAAAAACAGGGAAACCGAAATTTTAAGTGGATGTTCCTTATCTACATGTGTTTAAAGATTTCGAATTCAGTTCCTGGATGAGCATAGCTTCAGAGTGTGGGCAAGTGAAGTTTTTGGCGAGAAAATTGCTAACTGGGGTACTCAGTATGAGGAAAGCTGAAATTTTAGGAAAACGTCACTCGTTCACATGCGATTTAAAGATTTCAAACTGAATTTCCAGGCACGCATGGTTCGCTCGTACGGACAAGTGAGATTTTCTACGAGAAAACTGCTCACTCGGGAACCAGAACAACTAGGTTATTTTTAATGAAGGACTGGTCAAAGAAATTTGTCATTTCTCTTTGTGCAAGTTAAATGTAGAACATCATCCATTCATATAGTTAACGACTTGACTGCTTCAAGTTTATTGCAAAAACAAATAATCGCAGTGGCTACTGTTCTTTTTCACATGATTTGCAAACAGTCTAGCATGCGTGGCTGTACCTGCTGCTCGCTGTTTCTTGACAACGTCGGTACCTGGGGCCAGAAATTGAATCATTCATGTCGTTTTCATCCGTTTCTGTTTTTTATGCGGTTTTTTAATATGCAAATGTAAAAACGCATATTGTGACGGCCGTGGTATGTCTGTATGTATTTGTGTATGCGTATGTGTGTGTGTGTGTGTGTGTGTGTGTGTGTGTATGTGCCTGTCTGGGTATTTCAACTCGGCACCCAAACAAGCTTCAGCGCCAAAATTTTACCAGTAGGTCCCGCTGCTAAGTGTTACCTCAGGACTGCGGTACCGACTGTCGCGCAGGTCTAGGCCCCACGTACGAGAGGGCGAAAGTTTTGGCGAGAAAATCGTTAACTCGAGAACCAGAAAAGCTAGAAACCTGAAATTTTGAGGTTGTGTTCCCCGCCCTCATAGAACTCAAAGATTTCAAATGCAGCCCCTAGGTGCGTGTGGTACCCGTGCATGGTCCCGAGAGGGTCCCTGGCGTGAAAATCGCTAACTTGGGAACGAGGAAAGCTGAGAGGCTGAAATTTTCAGGGAATGTTCTCAGCACACTTACAACAAAAATTTATCAGATTCAGCTCCAGGCATGCGTGGTTTTCACGCACGGCCCCGTTAAATTTTTTGGCGGGAAAATGGCTTACTCGGGCGCCAAGAAAGCTAGGAGGCTGAAATTTTCAGGGAGTTTTTTCAGCCCATTTGCAACAAAAGTTTATCAGATTCAGCCTTCAGGCATTCGTGGTTCTCACGTACGAGCTCGTAAAATTTTTTGACGGAGAAATGACTAACTGGGGAAATAAGGAAGCTGAGAAATTCGAGGGCCAGTATGTCACAAATCTTAGATACGAGGTTTCCGAGTGATCTCGTTACAGCACGAAATACTGCAAAAAACCATGGTCGCACGGGCTCGCCCAGTGTGTGTCGCCAATAATCTTTTTTCGTTCTTGAGTTCAGTATGAAAAACTGTAATTTTCGATATAAAAGTTTCAGTGCGAAAAAAAGTTAGCGTCGCTGGCGTAAAATTTCCACAACAGTTATTTTGGAAGTCTTGATAATCCTGGTAATTAAAAATATTACATGCACCCGAGAAGGAAAGCAAGCAGTCGGGCGGCTCCCGAAAAGATGGCGTACATATGCCGAACAGGTGGTAGCGCTAATTGCAAATCCCAGTAACATCATTAAGATGGACTGTCTGATGACCGGGCTATCTTGGTGTTCTTGATTTTATCAAATGCAGCGCAAAAAAATCTAGCACACTTGATATCAGTGCACTGAGAGCACATTGTTGATTACCAAGGCAGTCTCATGGCACTGTACGGACTGTCACAGTGCGAGTACCATGAACCAACCTCGGTCTTTCATGTGAGTATAACAAACCTGATGTTTTTTGATTCATTTGGATACTAATGTTATAATGCATTGTAATCTTTGTCTAATGGCAAGCGCAAGGATTCAAAATTTTAGCTGAATTCAATCAGTTTTCTTGCCCTGTGGTGAAATTCTTGTGCCTGTCATGAATGCTTATTCCATAAACGTGTATTTTACTCATTTCTTTTTTTATTGGTAATTCTATAAAAAATTTTTTCCGTCGATCCGACAAGTTAATTCTCAAACAGGACTTGTGTATATTAACATTTATACACGCATATATATTTATATATTTACACATGCATGTCATGCATCTGAGTATGGAAGAGAAAAAGAAAAACACAAATCACAAAAACACATGGTACTTTTTTTCATCCAATTGCCAAATCTGATTCCAGACAATAGCAAGAGCCTTCTGCTTGTTACAATAGCGCAAGCACAAAGAAGCCTGCGTAAGAAGAGTTGCTACGAACCATAATGGTTGATAGAGCAATGGTTGCTCGAACTATGGAATAATAACTGAAGAAAGGTTTGCACTGGAGGTATTCAGAGTGGCCTCTCTCGATTAACTTCATTTTCGGCTGCTTTTATCACTGAAGGAATGAATGAATGCAGTTAAAGCTGAAAATACTTTACGATTTTCTTGCAGCTGATGTTTACATTTACGGATTTCGGAGATTCTGCAAAGGAATTAAAAATGGAAATGCAATTGTGATGTGCTGGAGAGAGCGCAGTTTTGGATTTCGAAATTTTAAAAAATAAGAAGAGAGGGGTTGTAGAGGAGGAAAAAAATAAAATTTCATCAATTTGATTACTTTCGCTAGCTGTGATGAAGTTTTTGGTTCCTGGCGGAGGGCAAATGAAAATCTTGGCTATGACAAGAGGAGAAGAGTTAGCTTTAAATCAGAATTATTACCAATGTGATGAACACGGAATGAACAGTAGGAACGACAGCATGCTGACTATCAAGCGATGCGTGGCCACTGCGATAAAACTTGCCAGCTGCTTTGTTAAAGGAGCCGCATTTTGAAGCTAATCAAAATTTCCAAGAACGACCAACATAGCCACCAGGAGATGCAGTTTTGGTTACAGCAACCACCAGGCAATAATGAAGTAACAGCTGATACGAGTGTCAGAGTTTTGACTCACGAATTTGATATACAAAAAACGAGTAAAAAATATCAAAATTATAAGTTAATAAAGGTTAGATACAAATTAACAGTAGCAAATCAGACAATTTCACCGGTAGAGGGATTGAGAGGTAGTATGGAAGGAAGAGAACGAATGTGGTTTGTCGCATTTTTTGGAGGAATAATTGGTAAAAACTCTTTTGTGCTGCATACTTTATCTGTAAAGGCAAACAGTATCCATGGATGGGCAGGAGGAGTAGGAATCATCGATACAACTTCCTGTTCATTTATGGAAGTAAATTTTTAAAGTGACATATGAAGATGAATGATATATTAATAAATTTATCTGATTAAGATAGCGTTTGATTATACGTTTTCTGGAAAGATGGGTTACCTGCCCAGTAGCCTTCTCTTCTTTCGGTTTTTACGTCTAAAACACTCCTTTTCGTCATGGTAAAATTTGGCTGAAACTTGTACCGCTGGAAATAATAGTTGAAATTATTTTTTGAAAAAAAAAGTGAGCATCAAAGATTAATTTATGAACGAAGCAGAATTCACTGATCGCTGCTCTGCGCTGTATCACGTGAAGCAACAATAGTGAGAGCAAAAATAACGGATATCAGCTGGACAATAGTGATTCCAAGTGTTATATAGCCAGCTATTTGAAGCGTGAAATCCAAACGTCCCCATACAGCAGCTGTGCAATTTGGCTAAAAATTCAATTCCATACTGTTTAATTATTTTCCAGTGCGCTTGCTCCTTGTTGGGGCGCGGTAGGTCGAGGTTTAACTCTGCCACTAAGACAACCAGTCCTTTTTGAGATTCGTTCATTCGCTTTGACTGTAGATTTGTATTGGACAATAACAGGGAGTCAAACTCGTCACCAGCTTCCTTGTAAAGGGTTTTTGAAAGGGATAGTCCCTGACAGTTGGCCAGTGGCTACCTTTACTAGCGATTGGTTGCTAATGGCACTTGCTACCACTTGCTCTACTTCTCGAGTGCCTCCACTTCTCAGAGCGAGCTTATAGAAGTGGGATTCTAAATTTATGAACTAGTAAAACGAAGTTTTCTAACCAAAATCGCTCTCTTGGCCTTTTTTGTTCTCGAATGCACATCTGCGCCAATGCACATGGATCGTCCCCTCAATTACACCTCAATTTCACCTACACTAACTGTTCAGAAACTCGCAGTATTCTTGATTTATTGCGTCTTATCACGTCGTCAATTACGGATTGAACATTCAA